CGCTGGAGCTGTTCAAGACGAGCAATGGACGGGGTTGGGGTGTACGCACACCGCATTCCCTGCGCAAGGGGGAGTTTGTGTGCGAATATGTGGGCGAGATCATCACCAGCGATGAGGCCAATGAGCGTGGCAAGGCCTACGACGATAAGGGACGCACATATCTCTTTGATCTGGACTACAATACGGCTGCTGAAAGCGAATACACCATCGATGCGGCCAACTATGGCAATGTCTCGCATTTTATCAATCACTCGTGCGATCCCAATTTAGCCGTTTTCCCCTGCTGGATTGAGCACCTGAACATGGCGCTGCCCCATTTAGTGTTCTTTACACTGCGCCACATCAAGGCCGGCGAGGAGCTGAGCTTTGATTATATACGCGCCGACAACGAGGATGTGCCCTATGAGAATCTATCGACAGCTGTGCGCGTCGAGTGCCGCTGCGGCGCCGCCAATTGCCGCAAAGTGCTCTTCTAGATGCAGCTTCCGCAAATTATGAACAAATTACTTGCTACACCTTAATACAAATACATACACACATATAACTATATGCATATGCCTTTATATATAAGAGTTTAGCGCTTAAGTTTATTTGACAGATTCACTTGAAAAACAAATGACATCAAAAACCTTATGAAAAACCTTATTAGTTACATATATTAAATTATTTATTGTTATTTTGTGCATCCATTGCTTAAACATTTAACGTACCAATTATTTTTAACGTGTTTTTCAAGTTAAATATATCACTTTTTTATATTATTGAAGCATTTTGCGAATTGCCCACTGAATTTGTACTCACTTATTTTACACGTCGTGTATATATACATATATATATATATATATATATATATATATATATATACGCACGCCTTTATAATTATGTCTTACTTTAAAACTTACGACAACATCTAAAATAAAATATTTCAAATTTAAAAGCGAGAATATATTAATTTAGAACGATTTGATCTGGGAATTTAAACTAAAATCAAAGAAAACCGTATTCTTTCTTTTATTTATTTTTCATAAAAGCACATTCATTTCATTTAAGGAAATATCCAAAATATCAATTGCATTTTATTAGATACTAATAATTAGTTATAGTTTAAAAGATTTTTATTATTACTTTAGTATTATTATTATTATAGTTTGTGCCGTCGTTGGAAAATATATGAGAATAAATTTCATGTCTGTTTTACATTTTAATAATATCAATTAATATTACCTGGTTTTAACTTGTTGCTAACCAAGAAATCTTGTTTCCAAATTAATTTAGGATACGCCAATGCAAAAATCTACAAGTGCGACAATCCCAAGTGCCCGCGCCCGGCCAGCTTTGTATCGGACGGCTCCAGCAAGGATGACAGCATGCCATGTGCGCGTCTCGCCTGCTCCGGTCGCTTCAGATTGGTGCGTCATGTGAGCTTTGTCGATTGCCCCGGTCACGACATTCTTATGGCCACTATGTTGAACGGCGCCGCTGTGATGGACGCTGCACTGCTCCTAATCGCTGGTAAATGAATATCTTGTGGACTCCCGAAATGTTGAATTTTTCTAATATTTAATTTTCCTCCGTTGTAAAGGTAATGAATCTTGTCCACAACCACAAACCTCGGAACATTTGGCGGCCATTGAGATCATGAAACTGAAACAGATTTTGATATTGCAAAATAAAATCGATTTGGTCAAGGAGAGCCAGGCAAAAGAGCAATACGAGGAGATCACAAAGTTTGTGCAGGGCACTGTCGCCGAGGGTGCACCGATAATTCCAATTTCGGCCCAGCTGAAGTACAACATTGACGTGCTCTGCGAGTACATTGTTAACAAGATTCCTGTGCCGCAGCGTGACTTTAAGGCGCCGCCCCGTCTCATTGTTATACGATCCTTTGATGTAAACAAACCTGGCTGTGAGGTGCAGGATCTCAAGGGCGGCGTTGCTGGCGGCTCCATATTGAGCGGTGTGCTCAAGGTCGGCCAGGAGATTGAGGTGCGTCCCGGTGTTGTGACCAAGGACAGCGATGGCAACATCACTTGCCGTCCCATCTTCTCGCGCATCGTGTCGCTGTTTGCCGAACAAAATGAGCTGCAGTATGCAGTGCCCGGTGGCTTGATCGGTGTGGGCACCAAAATTGATCCCACGTTATGCCGTGCCGATCGACTGGTCGGTCAGGTGCTTGGCGCCGTCGGCAATTTACCAGACATTTACATCGAGCTGGAAATTTCATATTACCTGCTGCGTCGACTGCTCGGCGTGCGCACCGATGGCGACAAGAAGGGTGCACGTGTGGAGAAGCTGCAACGTAATGAAATCTTGTTGGTTAACATTGGATCGCTTAGCACTGGCGGTCGCATCTCTGCCACCAAGGGTGATCTGGCCAAGATTGTGCTTACAACGCCCGTTTGCACGGAGAAGGGCGAGAAGATTGCACTCAGCAGACGTGTGGAAAACCATTGGCGGTAAGTGTGAAAATCAACTGGAAATTAAAATTCTTTTTTTTTTTTAAAACTGTCTGTTTTCCGCTTGCAGTTTAATTGGCTGGGGACAGATCTTTGGCGGCAAGACAATTACGCCCGTACTGGATAGTCAGCCAGCGAAGAAGTAAATAGACCAGCACAACCAGCTACCAGACCCGCTCCGAATTCATATTCAGTTTAAGCGATTCAAGTGTGTGTGTGTGTGTGTGTGTGAGTGTGTATACACAAGATCGCAAACGATTCTTTGATTCGTTTGACCTATTTGCTGATTTTGCCCATCTTCGCTGCACCGTTTCTCCATCTTTAAAATCCCGCGTCGTCGTCCTCCTTCACGTCCGTTGATAGCAAACAAAAAAAGAAAAACCAACCAACAAACAAACAAAATACGAAATAGAAAACAAAACAACTGAAAACTGATGCATACATACCTTAAATTATTGAATTTTGTATGTATATAAACGATTATTGCTGAGAAATGTTATGCGTATATAGCAAATCCGAGCATTACAAGAAACTAATAGGTTATACCATATACATATTATATAAAAACAAAACAAATCTGATACATCGTAAAATTGTTTTTATGATTTAAATACAAAAAGAAAGTATAAAATGGTATGCATTTTTACAATTAAAAACTAAACAATGTGGTCGTTTTCATTGCCCTGGGGTTGAATAGGTCCTGCTAAAAAGCAAACAACTCTTTTGGAAATTTCTATTCAGTTTTAATAACGAGCTATCAACATTATAATCAACTTTTCTTTATAGATTCTTTTATTTGTTTAAGCATTATTATTACAATTTTCACATTTTGAAACATGATCATTTTTTATTATTTGTTAAATTACACATTTTGAAACATTTATTATTTTATGTATCGTACTTCCTTTTGTTTTTACCTAGCGCACACTAAATTAGCTGTAAACTACTATGTATGGTGTGTTTTTTGTTATTTTTTTTATAATTATTATTATTTTCACGGATTACTGAAATAATTTCAATATTAATTAGCTTAATTAATAAAAATTCGTACTTAGTCGCGATTTATTTAATTGCTGGAAACATTTAATTTAATACTATTGAGATTGAGTAATTTTAATTGTAATACTTTTTCAAATACCTCCTAACTTGCGTTGTGATCGGTACACTTTGAGCATTTTAAAACTGAGCTTTTTTTATTCGTTGAACACACATTTTAAACAAATTCAAATATATATGTTTATATTGTATAATCCATATCTATCAATTTGAGCGATGTTTGAACACAATTAAGTATAAGCTGGCTTCACCGGAATGCATAGTCTTAAGAACGGAAACCAAGAAATGTCCGCTCAAATCTGTCAGTGTCGCATTCCATATAAGTAAAATTACTTATTTGGATCTAAGCTCGTTTACAACAAAAGAACTTCAACAATTTAACCTTAAAATGTGCTTAAAAATAAGCAATAATTTAAAAGCATGTTAAATAATAGTTACAAGTTATTTGATATTTGCATTTCTTTGTCCTTTGTCTTTGGTTTTCCTACCTGAAGCTTTGCCCAAGTTCTTCAGTTATAATATTTATATTATCATTTGAAATTGTTTGAATAAGAAATAAACTATTTCTTGTGTTAACAAAGCAACTCAAGATAAGTCGTTGCTTTGAGTGTCGCTTAATAGTGTAACTACATCGTTTAGACTTCAATATGAAATGCATTTCTTACAAGATAAAAATGCGGGACTCACGAGAAATGTGTCCATTATGTGTACAACAATTATTTTTGTTTTGAATATTTTTTTTATAAATATGCATGGTACTATCAATAGATATTCCTAATAAATAATATATAATTCAATGAACGTAAAACACAATTAGAAGAATACTATTTTATAGATACATTTAACAAGTACATTATTACATTATTCCTTGAACAAGAAATCAATTTAATAATAGATATATTTCTGTGTATTTACTTACATACATTGAACACCTTTAAGTGCTGTTGGTTATCCTTGCGTATACTTAATATATAACACATACATTTATTCTCATTTTTCCAACTAATTCTTGCTTACTTGAGCTCTTATGATAGAGACTCATTAGATATTGACATTTACACTTAGACTGGGACTGTGAGTACTCGTGAATGTTAATTCACTTTTGTGTGCCGAGGGAAAATGACTGTAACTTGGTCAGCTTAAATATTATTATACTTATATTTTACAAACATATATAATACATATTCATTGACAGTTAACATTGGCAAAATTGGAGTTAGTTTTTTATGTTTGTTTTGATTTCAACTTGATACCCACACGTACATATACATATATCCATATAACGATTGACAGAGATCAAGTTTCTTATGAAGTCCGTTTACTTAATTTATGTGTTTCGGAATTTGCTATTCGTTTTGTAACATATCAGTTTGTAACAATTTTGAGATTTTCTCTAACGATTTCAATAAGTTTTGCAACTCTTTATAATACAATTTGAAATACTTACATAGTTACAAATATACATATACTTGTGCAGAAATAGGCTAATTTTACATTCCAATGCTGGTTATCATGCATATGTTCATGTTGCTTGAGCAATATGAAAGTACATATATATTATAAGTATATATACCTAATTTTAGAACGTAATCTTTTACAAATATATTTAGTAGTATTTTTTATTCGGGTTTTATCTAGTTGCTTGTATATGCCTTTTCGGTTGGATATAGAATTAGAAGCCTGCGTTTTCTTTAGGATGCACATTTTGGCATTTGGATTTGGGTGTGGCATCTTAAAGAAAATGGCTCAAATCTCATTCGTTGACATCCTCATCCGATGAACTGGCCGCGGGTATCGTCGAGAATTGCCACGCCTCGCGATTGTTGTTTTTGCTGACACTGTGGGTGCGCATGAAATATACAAAATATATGAATTAATGTTTTCTGCATATAAGGAGTTCTATATCGTATATATATATATATACCCATGCTTTTTGGCATTGCTGGGCAGCGTATGCGAGCTGCGATAGTAGCTGTCGTGTGGCTCCTCATTGGTCTCCTCCAGAGATTTGCGTTGCAGCGTCATGGTTTCTTGCGGTGTTAGCGCATTACCCCCAACACCGCTCAGCTCCGCGTTTAGATAATATTTGGCATTCTGTGCGATCTTGCAGTTTTCGCACTCGCTTAGATAGTCGTCGTCCAAGCTGGTGTCGTTGGGCAAGAAATGCTCGTTTGGATTCATACAGTTCTTCGATGTGGTGCACACAGGCAGCTGTTTGCTGGGCGTGCCACTGCGCCCACTCTGCACCTTGGCCACCAGCTGCGGATAGCTGGGCATCTGGCAATGGGCAATGGCCAAGCTGCTGCTAGTTGCTGCCGTTGCACCCGTGATCGCTGCTGCCGGTGAGCTCCTTTCGCTGTCGCGTTTTACCCGCAATATCTTTGGCAGTGTGGTGCTTTTACCAGTCGTCGTTGCCTTCTCATTGTTGTTCTCCACCGGCGGTATGCTGATCACCGAGGGCACTTTGCTGACCACGCTATTGATGGTGCTGTTCAGCGAGATCTTGCCGCTTATGTGCTTGGGCAGCGTATAGGTCACATGGTTGTTGGCCAGCGGATAAAATGTGCTCGAGTTGATCTTGCTGTTCGTCTTCTCGCCACAGCTGGACGAGGGACTGGTCGGGGGCAGCGTCAAAGTTGCCGTTTGCTCCTTACGCTGATACGCGCTACTAATTGTCGATTTGCTTAGCGTATAAATAGTGGCCACCGCATTGTTGTTGCTGCCGCTACCACCGCCCCCGCTGCTGCTGCTGCAGCTGCTGGTGGCAGTTGTTGCTGTTGTTGTCGCTGTTTTTAAATTCGTTTGGCTTTTGTAGAGTTTCGGTGGTAAAGTTGGATTGCTTTGATCGTTGATCGAGCTGTGCTGCTGCTGCTGCTGTTGTTGTTGTTGTTGTTGTTCTTGCTGGTTATAAAAATGTTGCTGTTGTTTCTGCGTTAGATTCAAGTAGGCATCAACCTGCGGGGATTGCCAACGAGATTAGCAAAAATTCAAACACATATAAATGCAATAATTTTTGTTACGGAGCATGAAACCACCAAAACGCGCGAGAACATAAAACTATAGAGTAACAATTTTGTCTAAAAACGAATATTTCACATTAATTACTATTTTTTTAAGCGCACAACGAAAAGTTCGTATTTTATTTCAAGAGTTATGAATTTGAGGTATTCTAGACCTCCGTTTAGAGCTGGAGATCTGTAGCTCAAATCATAAATAGAACTGAACTGAACTGAAACTTTAAGATGTGGTCTTGTGAGAAGGCTGTATTCGGTTTTAATTTTACGGATTTACATTTTATTTTCTGCTGTGAACGGAGCCGAAACAGTACAGAAATATATATTTTTATTCAAAAGTACTTCAATTGAAAAGCGAACTGAAAATTTCTTTTCATTTGAATGACATTAAAATGTTCAAAATATATAAAAAGGCAACGTGGAAAAGCAGAAACTTTTCTGCTGGCAGAAAATTGGCTCAGACCGTAAACCGAGCCACAGAGAATTTTTTCTCTTTTGGGTTTGCTGTCCTTATATGTTTTGGGTACAGGGTAACTCGTAGTCGGGTACTCTCTACCAAAGCACTTATATTTGATTTTTGTACATATTATTTTTTATTAACTAAAAAATTAGGAAAAATGTTGTCTAGAATCATAATTATGAACAAGAGATGTTTGGTTTCATTTCCCCGTTTTTCGGCAAATATGTATACATATGTATCTGTGCTAGTCATTAACTAAAGATGTGACTATTTAGAGCTGTTCTTGGCCTTAATTCTAATACATATGTGCACATAATAGTGTACGAATAATAGAATTCTCGAAGTTAAGCATTCGCAATGGGATTACTTACATTTCGAACTCACCTTTCGATTCAAATAGGCGCTGGAGAGCACATCGACGCCGGTCTGGGTAGCAGCAGCAGCCGCACCACTGCTGGAGGCACTGCGTCCGCCCCCGCTGCTGCTGCGTGTACGTTCGGCAGAGCTGCTCGAGCTACTGGAACGCTTCTGAACACGGCCGAGCACAATTGGCGGCGCACTGACATCCTCGTGATGCGGCAGCGGCGGCGGCGGTATTATAGCCGAGACACTGCTCGAAGTGTGCGAAGGATGTGGCTGCAGTTCATCGCCCACCTGCTTCGAAATAGTGGCAATTTTGGGCTCCTGAGCGCTGGGATTGCGCGTACCGCTGCCGCTCCCAATGAGCTCATGGCCGTACTGCTGCTGCTGCTGCTGCAGATTCGTTGTAGACTTGGCGCGTTGGCCATAGGCCAGCGTGGCGGCGTGTCGTGTACTGGCGCTGGGTGACAGGGCGCAGGCATTGTTGCCAGTTGAGGCAAACAGTTTGCCGGCACCGTTAAGAAATGCATTTGCATTGGCATTGGCATTGCTGCCCATATAGGACATCGGCACATGCTGTATGGGGCACTGGCACATGGGCTTCTTTGTGGCCTTGTCCGTGGAGCTAGAGCTGGCGCTGCCGCTGGAGCTGGAACTGGATTTTGGCTTGACGGTGACCACCTGCAGTGGATCAGCCATGGCAAAATAGCGCGGTATGGTGCGATGATAGCGACGCGAACTAGAGGGCGTTTTGCTGCCCTGCTGCTGCTGTTGCTGTTGCTGTTGCTGCTGCTGCTGCTGCTGCTGCTGCTGGTGAGGCAGAGGCAGCGTTTGAGTAACCGAATCTGCTTTGCCGCTGCTGCTGGATGTGCTGTGTGCTGCTGTGCTTATGGTCGCTATTTCCATTGGCGGCAACATGTCTATGGCGGTTGTGGACAATGCTGCTGCCAGCAATTGTTGCTGCTGTTGATGTTGCTGCTGCTGTGTAAGATGGTGTGTGGGCGTGGCCAGCATCTCGCTTGTGGCGGGCAATGAATGATAGCTAGCTGCACTGGCACTCGCATTGATCTCCACGTCGGTTACAGTGAGATATTGCTGCTGTTGCTGCTGCTGTTGCTGCTGTGGCTGTTGCTGGTGCAGTAGCTCCTGTGAGCCGCGCGGCGTGCGACGCGCCGCTGCATAGGCCAGGGAGCTGGAAGCGCTGCCAGTTGTGGCAGCTGTGGTTACACTGGCGCTTATATTAAGATGACAGTTCTTATAGCTGCACTCGCTGCTAACACTGGGCTTGGGCGTGGGCAGGGTCTGCACACAAATCGAATTGTTGGCCGCTGGCGCTGGCCCCGACAATTGCTGCAGTTGCTGCTGATGCTGCTGCTCCAGGCTGAGCTGATGTTGCTGCTGCAGCTGTTGTTGTTGTTGCTGCTGTTGCAGCTGGTGCTGCTGCTGCTGTTGCAACTGTTGCTGCTGCAGCTGCTGCTGCTGTTGCTCGCTTTGTAAGCTATAAGGCGGCTGATGATTCTCGCCAGTGGCAATTGTGGTAACGCCGCCGCTGTTGATATTTATATTAATCAGATTTGTAGTGCTCTGTGTGTATTGATTGGACTGTGCAGCAGCAGCTGCAGCAGCGGCGCTCAACTGATGCGCATGGGAATGCGACGCAGTAACAGGCACCATCTGCTGCGCATATGCATGTGGATGTGGATGCTGTTGGGGTTGAGTGTGCAACTGTAGCGTGTGTTGTTGCAAATGCTGCTGTTGCAATTGCTGCTGCTGCTGCAATTGTTGCTGTTGCTGTTGGTGTTGCTGCTGAAGCTGCTGCTGCTGCTGGCTGACGCTGGCCAAAGCCTGACGCTGGACATGGCTAGGCAGTGTAACGGTGCACTGAGCGCTCAATGCCTCCGCCTGAGATATGGCCACGGCTTCTTCATAGGGCGGTGGGGCCTCTCCGCGCGGAAAATAGCCGCTTGGTGGCTTCCAGAGTGGATAATGAGTGGTGGCGCCGCCATACGAATAATCTATTGCACTCAGATTGCCCTCCATGTAGCCCATGTTGCCGGCAATATAGCTGAAAAGGCATGACAATTCAAATAAGGACGCCATGAAATTTTCTTTAACTTGAAACTCACCCAATGCTGCCCACAATGCTGCGCTGATCCTCTGTGTTCTGTCGATTCTCGCGTGCCCGCATCTTACGCTGTCGCAAACGATTCACCAGGAAGAAGAGCAAAGATAAGGACAGCGTGGCTGTAATGCCACTGGCCACCAGTCAAATGCCAAAGTCGGTGCTGCCATCGCTGAACTGATCATCCAGGCAGATGACCTCGCAGCAATTGTTGCCGCTGCCAACCGTTTGAAAGGACTTGCATTTACTAAACGCCTCGCACAACACCATTTTGCACGCCTTCGGCAGCCCGCTGTCGCAGATGCACAGACGACACGAGTCCGGTCCGGGCATATAATGCATGCCCGTCTCATAGAGTTTGCCATTGTAATCGCGACAATGGCCGCCCGGAATAAGGCTAGAGCTCACCGCGTTGCTATCTAAAGAGCAAAATATGGCAGTTCGAAAGTTCATTTTAGTTATTCATAATTAATAAACAACTTAATGAATAAATAATATATGCAAATATATATGTTGATTGTTAAGAAACGGGAAATTATGTTCTGAGAAATATTTAACTTTTTTGATATTTATATTTAATACATTTTAATTGATTTGACAAAAGATATTTATTCATTTTTTCACGATATCAATTGTGAATTGAAAATTGCAAATTTGTATAGAAAGAGAAAAAGAATAGTTAAAATATTTAAGGTTCAGAGGATTTAAGCTTTTGATGTGGCTCTTCTTGTGGATGGGAAATTCTAGTTTCTAGTACTTGCAGTTCTCATTAAGAGCAATATAAATTAGTACTTTGAATGAATTTAATAATAGCATTTAAGGGACTTCAATTTTAGCGATTATCACATAAGTAATATGCGATATTTTATAAAGGTTTAGGTTATTAATTATCGACTAATATCAAATTGTAAGAAATGATAAAAATATCGTTAAACTTAAAAAAAAATAACAAAGTTGTAAGCTTTTATTATGTATGTATTAGGTTTAAGTAGAGTTTAAGCTAAAAATTCACACACACAAATGTATGTGTGTATGTGTTTTCGAACAACTGTATTTCTTTATTTTGACACACTTGACCAAGTTTCGCCTCGCTACTGATTGAAAAGTTACCGTTTTTGGTTCAAATGCGAACATTAACACACAATCACACACATACATAAAACGCAGCAGGTGCTGTGCCCCCCTTTCACCAACCACACACACACATACAGATACATATAGCTCTCTATACATACATGCATATCGACATACATAGCCATAACGTTTATTACTAGAATGAAATTAAATGCAAACGCATTACATTTTCAACATAATTTAAATGCTAAACAGCAAAAGGAAATTCAAATTAAAAACAAATATATCCAGCATTTGCTCAGCGGCAGGGTGAATAACAGCAGAGAGGTGGGTAGGGGCTGCATAACATGCACTGGCACAGTCGACACGAACCACAAAACACGAGTGCCAACGGCTGGACAGGAAGCACACGAACGAAAATGGCAAACAGTGTGCCTTGCGTCCCCGCAAAAGGAAAAAAATAGCTGCGAGTTTCCAAGTGAAATTTTTGCAACTCACATACACACACACGCATACAAAACGCGCAATTCAGCCCCACACGTACACACCCAAACACATGGCAGAGTATACATACACGCAACAACAAGCACACACGGCACACCACCCAACATACACCCACATACATACAGACTGAGAGCAAGCGAAGAGAGCAGAGGCATACAGAGGGAGAGAGAAAGTAAGAGCAGAATGGGCAACAACACTAACGCAAAATTTTGCACGCCACTTCCTTCGCAGCGCCCAGTGGAAAAGCTTTATGCCCCTTTTTGCAGGAGTTGCTGCCTGCTGGCTGGCAGAGAAAAAGAGCGCAGTACAAGTGTATGTGTATATGTATGTGTGTGTGTGCCCCGTGTCCCATAAATTGTGAAACTCTGCTGTGGCCATGGACCATATTACAGTTATTGTAGATAGAGAACATCAATTGAAAATTGATTTTAGATAGAAAAATTATTGCATTGCCCTATGAAGTTCTCATTTAATACACATTTGTATCATATGCATTTCAACTACAAGAATTAAAACAATGAAGAAAAAAATATACGTTATTACTGCCCTGCTCTCTTTAGTACAGCAAGGATATGGCTTAATGCTTGTGTGTGTATAAAGTTTTACAGTTTTCACTATATCCTTTTACCTTTGGCATTTCCAATAAACGCAAGCACTGCCAAAAAATACATTTTGCTGGCGTTAATTTTCACTTTCAACTGCACAATTTACAATTAGTTATTAGTTACACAGTTTTTATTTGATATTTTCAACGGTTTTTACGAAGGTTCGAGCAATACCAACTAGTGCTAAAATTGAACTGTGTGACCGTTTACGGTAAAACGAAAGTAACCAAAGTGTATTTGTAACTGAACTGAAATACTAAAAATACCACTTTCAACGTAAAAAGATAAGGAATTGACGTTACATTCTTTTAGGCGTCGGTGCAAGGTCGAAGGACGTTAACGTAAGCGAATGCATCTAGTCGTATGCTATATAGAATGATAAAACTAGAATTGTATCCATAAATTTGGATATAAATATTGTTTTTACTGACTAACTGGTAATTCAATGCTTTTAAGGTGACGTCTTGTGTTTCATTCGATCTGCTTCAAACTCATTTTTAAATTACAATTTAAGGCCGTTATAAATACGTTATTCAGTTTTTTTGAAAATTCCATCCACAGCTTAATTGATCTATGTGTCGGAATGTTATTCAATCACAAAATACCTGCTGTATAAGACTACAGAGTAAAAATAAGTTGAAAATAGATATATCTCGTAATTGAATTTCATGCAAAATGAATTGTGTTCATTAATTTTGCAAAGTGTCCGAGGCATGCAACGGCCACAAAATACAATGACAACAACAACAACATTAACTTAATCGCAATATCAAGTTCGCAGGGTTAAACAATGACATAAATAACACAAGTGGATATCTAGTACTCAAAGGCATTCAACTAGATATAAACAAAACAAAAATTTAGATACATTTTCTTAGTTTTATATCTATTTATAAACTCTTTTATAGTTGAGTAACTGCGTAATAAAAAGTCCATGTTTCAATGTTGTTAGAACCATTTATATAATATATCTTTTCTGTTTAAGAAGTATATACCTCAATTGATCAGAAGATAGATTTAAAAATTAAAATTAAGCACGATAAAATGCCCTTCTAAAGTCTAATATACCACTCTGGCCTGTTACATAAACGTTGAAAGCGCTAGCATACCCTCTCAGCTCAATTGGCTGGATAAAGGGTATAATTAGCTCGGTCGCTGTAAACAGCACGCACACCAAATGCAGCTAAATAATATAGCTATTGGTGGGTGCTGCGATTAGCTTGCATTTAACTTAAATGAATGTAATTTGTGACTTTGCTTCCGAAAGACATTTGCATAGACTTCACTCGTAGAGTAAATCGGCTGAACACCGGACGTGGACCGGAACTTAACATAAAACAAAAAAATGCCTTCGAAATTGGAGAATGCTACAGCCGCACAGGTGACAGCATTGAAGGGTGTGATCCGGAACAGCAGCTATGTGATACCAGGACTTTATGATCTATCCGTTGAGGACACCAATTGGGTGCTGACCTCATCCTTTATCATTTTTACAATGCAAACGGGCTTCGGCATGTTGGAATCGGGCTGCGTTTCCATCAAGAACGAGGTGAACATCATGATGAAGAATGTAATTGATATTGTGCTTGGCGGCTTCACCTATTGGCTGTTTGGCTACGGCATGAGCTTCGGGCGCGGACCATTCTCCAATCCATTCATAGCCATAGGTGATTTTCTGCTGGATCCGCCCGTTGGCGACGAGCTGATGGGACAAATATTTGCCGCCTTCCTGTTTCAATTGTCATTTGCGACGACGTCCACAACGATTGTAAGCGGCGCCATGGCCGAACGGTAGGTTTACAATGTACCCTAACTAATTGTAAGAAAATGCAGAAGGGTATACCCTAGCATGCTAAAAGTTAAATACTTTTGCGGGCGTAGCCAACAATTCAAATATTTCAGGAGTATGGTGAAACATCGGGCTTCACTCTATGGGTTATCCATATCGTTTAACATTTTAGCGGCCTACTCAAGTGCGTTTAAACTAGACATTCAATCTCGATTCAAATATTAACGTGCTAAAGTAATCGGACACAGCCTTTCGATATTTATCTAATGATTATTCAGCTATCGATAATTTGTGACATCTCTGATATGCACTCTTTTTCACAGGTGCAACTTTAAAGCGTACTGTTTGTTCTCGTTCCTGAATACGGCGGTCTATTGCATACCCGCTGGCTGGGTGTGGGGCGAACATGGATTCCTTAACAATCTGGGCGCCGTGGATATTGCCGGCAGCGGTCCGGTGCATTTGATAGGCGGCGCCGCATCCTTTGCTTCGGCCGCCATGTTGGGGCCACGTTTGGGACGATATGCCGAAGGTATTGATCCGCTGCCGCTGGGCAATCCGGTTAATGCGTGCATGGGTCTCTTTGTGCTCTGGTGGGGCTGGCTGGCTTTCAATTCAGGCAGCACCTATGGCGTCAGCGGTGCCAAGTGGCAGTATGCAGCGCGTGCAGCTGTTATGACCATGATGGGCTCATTTGGCGGCGGATTTGTTAGTTCGCTGTAAGTGAAGATAAACCTACAAACATTTGCCGAGAATTGATCGTTCATAACCATTTAAAGTTACTCGTTTTGGCGACACGATGGCCGCATGGACATCATGGATCTCATTAATGGCATTTTGGGCTCGCTGGTCTCCATCACGGCTGGTTGCTTTCTTTATCGCGCCTGGGAAGCGCTGATCATTGGTGCATTGGGCTCGCTGCTGTGCGTTGTGACCATGCCGCTTTTCGATCGAATGGGTGTGGATGATCCGGTGGGCGCCAGTTCTGTGCACGGTGTCTGCGGCATTTGGGGTGTCATTGCCGTTGGACTATTTGCTGACAATCCTATACCTCTGGACACGACTAAGGGACGCAGTGGTCTGTTCAAGGGCGGTGGTTGGTATTTGCTGGGCATACAAACGCTGTCCGCCTTTTGCTTGGCCTGCTGGGGCATTTGCTCGACGATAATGTTGCTCTATGTGATTAATAAAATAATACCCATACGCATGGATCCGCACGAGGAGCTGCTGGGCGCCGATCTCACCGAGCATCGCATACGTCACTCACAAATTGGATTGTCGCGTGCCATTTCTGCGCTGGCCCCCATCAAGATCGATCTGCAAGAGATCATCGGCATTCAGCCCATTGGCATCAATCCGGGCCATGAGCGCAGCATCGAGCAGCTTCGTGCTGCGGACAACAAACTGCAACAATGGCAATCCTACCTGGAGCAAGTGACTGGCAAGGGTAACAAGTTGGGCACAGCCCAGAAAACACTTGAGGAACAGCAACTGGAAACAGACATAACGCTTAATCTAAAATCTGCCGACATTGAGCAAGAGAAGCCGAGTAGCGTCTTTGGGCGCAAGGTGAGATCGGTGCATGTTATAAAGGACAAATGGAGTGAGGACAAGGGCTCCTACAAGACCAACAACAGTGAGCTGCCGGTTATTAGCCCAGTTTCCAGACTGGACAAGGATGGCAACTTTGCCTGGTTGGACTAAAACTAATACTGCGGAATAGTCAAGTCTTAAATATAAGTCTCTGGCAAACCGATTGGGCTTATAACATGGTTCCTATTCAAACTAATTCTGACATTATATACTTCTTATTTTAATAGTTTTAGATTGAAATTTAAAATTATATTAATCAAATATATCAATCTATAGTAGTAATATAGCTTTCATGTAAATTCAACTATTAAGAAATTAATTTGAGGATTCGAGTTCGCGATTGGAATTTCCTACGAATGGAACTTCCAAAAATTATATATGATAAAAAAGTCCGATGCTAATATTTTATACATGCAAGTATTTTATTGTATATTGTATTATATACATATATATATATTATCATGAAGGCATTAACTAGACAAAACAAAAAAGCATTGATTGGAGACTATTGCTTCGTTTACGCCATGAAAGTCGCGACTTCCTAACTCTGCTAAATTAAACAAAGCCTAGTTGTATGCTACATATTCAAAATAAACCACACGAATTGTTTTTTAAGAGAATCAAGTCAATTTATGCAGTCTTTTAGGCGCAATCGGCTGCTCGTATAAAGTATTAGTATTCGTATGAAGTATTAAAAGATTTTTTCTGCAAATCTCAAATTGATTTATTTTATTCAAGTACAAGCAAATATTGTTTTGGATGATCGATCGATGTACGATAATAATATAATATATATGTATTATCTTATATGTTAAGAGCAGTGTTTGGTTTCTTTTTATATTTATATATATTTTACGTGTTGCAGTTGTATTATTATAATATAACTTTCAAGAGCAGTTGTCGTTTGTTCTTGTGGTTGGTATTTTCTAATTTAGAATCCAAGTTGAATATGTTTTGTGTAAAATGTAAATTGTGTGATTGGTTTATTGTGTGGTTTTTCATTGGCGAGTTGTTTAATCGACCTCCTCGATGGTGGGGCCAGCACCGCCGGCACCGGCAGCTCCGGGAGCAGCGCCTGCGCCAGGCATACCACCAGGCATACCGCCGGGCATACCACCGGGAGCACCACCGGCGCTCTGGTACAGCTTGGTGATGATTGGGTTGCAAACGCCCTCCAGCTCCTTTTGGCGGTGCTCGTATTCCTCCTTATCGGCCAGCTGATTGGCATCTAGCCACTTGATAGTCTCGTTGCACTTGTCCATAATGGTGGTGCGATCCGAGTCCGAAATCTTGCTCTTCAGATTGTCCTCGTCGAGGGTGGCCTTCATGTTGAAGCAGTACGACTCTAGACCGTTCTTGGCAGAGATGGTCTCCTTCTGCTTCTCGTCCTCGTTACGGTACTTCTCGGCCTCGTTGACCATGCGCTCAATATCTTCCTTGGATAGACGACCCTTGTCATTGGTGATCGTAATCTTGTTCTCCTTGTTGGTCGAACGCTCCAGGGCGGTAACATTCAGAATACCGTTGGCATCAATATCGAAGGTCACCTCAATCTGGGGCACACCGCGTGGTGCTGGTGGGATACCCGACAGCTCGAATTTGCCCAACAGATTGTTATCCTTGGTCATGGCGCGCTCGCCTTCGTACACTTGGATCAACACACCAGGCTGATTATCCGAATAGGTGGTGAAGGTCTGCGTCTGCTTAGTGGGAATGGTGGTGTTACGCTTGATGAGCACGCTCATCACGCCACCAGCAGTCTCGATACCCAGAGACAGGGGGGTAACATCGAGCAGCAGCAGATCCTGCACCTCCTGCGACTTGTCACCGTGCAAGATGGCAGCCTGGACGGCAGCACCATAGGCAACAGCCTCATCGGGATTGATGGACTTGTTCAGCTCCTTGCCGTTGAACAGATCCTGTAACAGGCGCTGCACCTTGGGGATACGAGTGGAGCCACCGACCAGCACAATATCGTGAATAGCCGACTTGTCCAGCTTGGCATCACGCAGAGCCTTCTCCACGGGATCCATGGTGCTGCGGAAAAGATCGGCGTTCAGCTCCTCGAAACGAGCACGCGTGATCGAGGTATAGAAATCGGTACCTTCGAACAGCGAATCAATTTCAATGCTAGCCTGAGTGGAGGATGATAGCGTACGCTTTGCACGCTCACAGGCGGTGCGCAGACGACGCAGAGCACGCTTGTTGGTGGTCAAATCCTTCTTGTGCTTGCGCTTGAACTCCTGTACAAAGTGAGTGACTAGACGATTGTCAAAGTCCTCACCACCCAAATGGGTATCACCGGCCGTAGATTTGACCTCGAAGATGCCGTCATCAATAGACAGAATGGAGACATCGAAGGTACCGCCGCCCAAATCGAAAATCAACACATTACGCTCTCCAACCGCCTTCTTGTCCAGACCATAGGCAATGGCCGCGGCAGTTGGCTCGTTAATAATACGCAATACGTTCAAACCGGCGATGGTACCAGCATCCTTAGTCGCCTGACGCTGTGAGTCGTTGAAATAGGCAGGCACAGTGATGACGGCATTGGTAACCGTCTTGCCCAGGTACGCCTCGGCGGTCTCCTTCATTTTGGTCAACACCATGGAGGAGATCTCCTCGGGGAAGAAAGTCTTCTTCTCATCCTTGTACGTAACTTCAATCTTGGGCTTGCCATCAACGCTAACGACCTCGAAGGGCCAGTGCTTCATGTCGGATTGCACGGCCGCATCATCGAATTTGCGACCAATAAGACGCTTAGCATCAAAGATCGTTTGAGTTGGATTCATGGCCACCTGGTTCTTGGCGGCATCACCAATCAAACGCTCCGTCTCCGTGAAGGCAACATAGGATGGGGTGGTACGATTACCCTGATCGTTGGCAATGATCTCAACCTTGCCATGCTGGAACACACCCACGCAAGAGTAGGTTGTGCCCAAATCAATACCAACAGCTGGAGCTTTAGACATCTGCAATGAGAGAAAAAGAATTATTTGTGGTTTAATTGATTAGATTTGATTATTTTTTTATTTAAAATTGTGTCAACGAACTTTGAAAAATTTGTGTTATCTGGCAACACTGTTAAAACAAACACAAAGCTATGCGTAGTATTGGAAGTTCGAAAGCAAGTGCTTAATCGGTTAAATGAGGACACTTCGAACAAAACAGTATGCCACTTTTTAATGGTTTTATAATCAATTAATATTATGTTATACTACTAGCCACACTAATATATCCATGTAGCTAGCGCATTATAACAAACTAATCAGTTTATTTTGTAGAAAGGCTGAGGCTGCAACCCTGGCCATGAAAGTAGTGAAATAAATGTTCACAGCGTTTTTCGCCTTGTGTTTGTAATTCCTTTTGCGCTGAATTTCATGTCAACGGAAACTGGTTGCTAATGTCACAGTCAACACCCAAAACGGTGAAACGTGAGCACATGACTAATTATAATGGCCGAGGCACCTATGTATGTACGTACATATGCATGTACATACAACGATCAAACAAGATAAACTGACAGATAACAATGGGGAGTTTCATTTCAGCAGCAGCTGCTAATTTTCATTAAAAGGTGCAAGCACCGCATGAGCACAAAGGCGAAAATTCTGGAATGCTTGAAACCCCAAACATGCACACACATAAGTATGTATCTATATGTACGCAAAACCACGCCGTTTCCAGAGCGTTTGGATTGCACAATTTATCGTGCGTAAGAAAGAGATGAAGCTAGTATACAAGCACGCGCGCGCTAAATTTTATATGTATGCAAGTTTGAAAGGTTTTTATTTCATCTACGCGTGCACACGCATATACTGAAATGCCGGTTAGCAACCACGCTTATATATAGCAAATACAAAAAAAAAAAAACTATAAAGCCAAATTTTTCAACAGCTAATATTAAAGTAATAGAAATAAAATATTCGAAATTTAAATGCGGACGTCAGCATCAGACCGTCATCATGACTCATGACATGAGTAGGTAGCGTGCGTGTGATGCGGCATATTTTTTCAATGGAATATTCCAGTACAACCACACATGCATAAGTCCGCAATTACGATTAGGCATCAAATACAAACGTATACATATCTACGTATATGCAAGGCTTTAATTATTTATAAGAAACCACAAACAAAAGCAATGCAAAATCGAATGACGCAATATATATGCATGTACTATTGTAAAATACATACGCTTGAGTGCTCGAATGTACATGCCGTGAATGTACATTTATATACATATAAGTACCTCTGTTCAAATTCTAAAGCTTAAGCACTTGCAACCTTTTTTTTTTAACGCAATTTAAAATATCGATAGCTACAAATTACAATGGACTACTTTCAGTACCCGTAATTATTGATTAACGCCGGAAAAAGCACATGTTAGTCACTGGAAATTTTTTTCTGTGCAAAAACACGCGGCTCAATGCACGTGCAAAATGTAGCGTGCATTGCTTTATGTTAATGTAAATTGCTATAAATAAAACTTACCTTTATGTGTTGCTTAATTAAAATGTACTAAATATATGGATAAACGTGTAATTGCTTCTTCACTTCTTTGTCCCACTTAAATTTCTTTCTGTCGAGTCGACACTCAGACGTTCGATCAAACTGGCACTTGTAATAGGAATAATGATGGCGTACGATGGTGCCTTTACTTATAGGCGCGTTGCCCTGCTCTGGAAAATTCTAATATTCTGACCTGATGTGGCAAGGCTGGCCAAAACAGTGTGGCTCTAGTAACTTTCAGTATTTATCGAAAATAATTAAATGCTGTAGCCCTGCTTGCTAAATTGGCGCTGACATGCAGATAACAAGCGCGGGAAATTTATAACGTTACAAAAACAAATTTTTATATTACTTTGCAGTCATAAATCAATAAAAGGTAATAACAATATTTGTGTTATTAAGACCCCACATCGAAAGCATCAAGTAGCTAATGGCACGCGTTATCAGCCATACTTTAACTGATATTGACAGGATTAGCATGGAAATTGGTTTTTTATAGGTATATGTGCACTTTATCAATAGATTAGTGACCAGCTACATGCGCTTTAAATATATTTATCGCGTTGCTTATCATAATGAGGTGTATGTCAAATATTTATAAGTAGATAATACAATCCTTGAAGGTTACTTTTTTTTTATTGCTAAATACATTAAAAAAATTTATCAGCCTTATTTACGAGCATCGATCTTACAATCCGGTTCGACTCCCTCAAAAATTGGAGAACTTTCACCGCCTTCACCATTGCCTCCAGTAATAATTTTCAGAAGATCCGATATTTTGCTATTGATCAGCTGCAAAGTGAACAAAAATTTAAAAAAATCATGTTTTCAATGCCGTTCTCACACGTAACCCACCGTTTCGACCTTGTCGACTACCGTGTTCTGCTCATAGTCCCATATATCGCCTAGCAGTTCGACGCCCATTTCATTGACCAAGGCATGTACGAAGTCATCAATGCGCTTCTCTTCCAACAGATTTTCAAAGTTAATTTTCAAATCTCCCATATGCATTTCGATTTGTAAGCCTGTGATGGCTAAAGTCGACGTCGACGCTTTAATTCTCCATGAGATTTCGAGCGAAAAGTCTTTTATTGCCACCCTAAAAGTGTGACGAAATGAAATAAATGGTTTTTTAAATAACCACTTCTATATTCCTTACTCCGCATTGCCGTCGCCAGACAAATTCAGAATATAGGCCAAGGAACCCTTGGCGGTATATAGGGATTTTAAATAGGTGTGTGGAAAGGTGACATTAATCGTACTCTTCGTCAGTCCAGGAATAACATTTATTTTTAGCGTATTTACAATGAAATCTGAAAGACCAGTCAGCTTAAAGTCCTGAATCGAACCAGTAAAGCTACAAACAATTAAAGGATTACATATCAGGATTACATATATGAACAGAAGAAATGTTCGGACTTACTCGACAAGGTATTTGTTATTCACAGCTGTCTCTGCAGGACCTAGCTCTAGTGGATCCAATGCGGGCAGGCCCAAGTTCGGTATCGGATGGCACATTCGCATACGAAACTCCTCTAGAAATATCTGAATTGTTTCCTCATAGACACACGCTACGGGCGACAGGCAACTGTAGATCGTGGCCACCGCCAGTAGGATCTGCCATAGGTAACCGGTCTGCATGTTGCTTAATTTTGGAAATCCGTTTGCCTGGGGCTGAAGCACGCGACTGAAGTACCTATGCAATGGTATTCGGGTTTTGTCAAGTGCGCCCATTTCCATTTCCCATTATGAATGTCAAGATACGGCTACAACCAATTCATGAAATACCCTTGCACGGTAGGGTATATTTACTACGAGTTTACTTTGCTGAGCAACAAACAAACAATTATGTTTAGACCAATGCATTCAATGCATTCAATATATCCACAAGATTTAGCAAAAATAAGCCCTGCTTTGAGCGTCATTTTATTAAAATTAGACTACATGTTACAGCTCCTTTAGGAACAATCGAACATTTCTAAGGGATTTGTTCTTCTGTGATATAATAATTATATAAGCTTGCTAGAGTATACAAAATAAGCGTGTTTTCTCTTCTTTTTTTTTTGCTATTTTAGTATTAAGAGCAAAGCTTATCGCTAAAAAGCTGGTGGGGCCTGAATGGATGAATCCTTATCAATAGCTACTATTTTCGATAAACAATAGCACTTTATTTGTTTTCCACTATTGAAGAATAATCGCAAGGTTAAATCGTTTCATTGGCTGCATTATCAAACATAAAAATTAAATATGTAGGTGGAAGGCCTACGGCTAGTAAAGTTAATATCTAATCTAATGCTAAACTTGTTCTGGTGGCTGTCGCAAGTGCTCGGGAATCTGCTGCAGCTCCGTTTTAGACGCTTGCAGCGCCACGCCTTCGGGCAGATTGCGTTCAATGTACTCTAAGAATGTGTCCAGCGTTGAGCCCGTCAGCTTGTGAAAGTTCATGTAGCGAAAATGTGTGCGTATCTCATATTGGACGCGATGCTTCTTGTAAATGTGCACCGACTTAAGCAGGGTCATGCGTTCGTGGTGTGCCTTCCGAGGCGACCAGCTGCAAGTGGTTAAATGTGCATTTAATATGGATATATTGCTGTTCAGCTTTAGCCGGTACCTACCACTTGCCTAACTCAATGCCCAAATGCTCAGCAGCGGTTGTAGCAAACCAGGTGTAACTCTTCAGCACCGCCGGATCTATGCCTCGCAGCTCGATTTCCAACTTACTGTAAAGTTTATCAGGCTCGCCCACAATGGCAGGAGGCGTAGCTTCGGTGCCTGGTAAAGTTGCAGCTGCTGTATTGCTCAGAGCGGAGGCAAAGCGCGCTGGCTGCCTCAGTCGTAATGTCTTAAGTAGCTTAAATAGACAAACATAAATAAAGGAATTAGTTTTAAGTAATCATTTAAATTTAAATCAAAGGCTCACCTGAAGCATTTTGTTATTGCAGCTGGAAACCAGAAACAGGGTTATGCAAGTGCAGGGCCGCAAAACGTTGATTACCTATCGATAGACAGTAAACATTGAATTTTGCCGGGGTGTGGTAACACTGACACTCTTTGCACGTGCAGCCAATAAGAGCGCTTTTAAACTTTGTGTATAGCAATTTGTTTTTATTCTTAATTGTCGCTTTTGGCATTTTAATTGGGAGCTAGACTTTATAATTACAAAACATGAAAAACACAGATCAGAAAGGTAAGTGCAAAACGAAAAGAAAATATGACGCGCTGAGAATAGAATTTCCACCGACAGCAAACGAGTCCACCGAGCCCAGCTCCGATGAAGAGGCATACGACGACATTGAGGATGATGAAGAAATGGGTGAGAACGAGGGAGAGCCAACAACTTGTTTGTTTTGCACGCAAGTTTTTCCCAGTATTGATCTGGCCATCGAGCATTTAAACAGTGAACACAAAGTAAATTTGTCGCAGCTCAAGCAGAAATTCCAAATGGATCAGTATGCTTTTATTAAACTGATAAATTACATACGTGGAGGTCAAGTCAGTGCAGAGCAGCTGCTACTAACAGAGCAGCCACAGTGGAATGATGAAAAGTATCTAAAACCCGGAGAATACGAGCCATGGCTGTGCTATGACTACGACGCGCTCAAGACTGACGAAACGGAGATAACTGATAGCGTTCCGGCGCTGAAGCAACGCATCGCTGAGCAAAGCAAACTACTACAGCAGGCCAGTGAGGATATGGAAAGGATGCGCAACGACTATAAAGCACTTCTACAAAAGGTGCACAGCGATGTGGAGGCCGGCGGAAAGGCATTGCCATCAACCAGCAATGGCATTGTGCGCAACGCTCCAACGCTCGATAAAGAATACTTCAATAGTTATTCCCACTTTGGAATACATTACGAAATGCTCAGCGATAAGGTAAAGAATCTTATTACATAGTGGTGCTCCAATAGCAATATTTGTCATACCAATAGGTACGCACAAGCAGCTACCGTGCAGCTCTAATGCAAAATCAGAGATATTTGCATGGCAAGTCGGTGCTAGATGTGGGTTGTGGCACAGGTATACTTTCTATATTTGCATCTCAAGCGGGCGCCGAGACCGTCGTGGGCATTGACAACTCGGAGATCGTCTATACCGCCATGGACATTGTCAGGTGAGCCAGTTTTCAAAGCATTTCAAATTGGCAAACATTATATACATTTTGTTAAGAAATAACTCATAGAAGGGAGAATAGGAAGAGAGATATCGAAATGCGTGGAAAATGTATTGGAAAATTATATAAAGAAATCCAATTAGTTGTAACGAATACTAGAAGAATCCATCAAGAATGCTGTTGGACTTGAAAACTGTACATCAATTTTCAGTCCAACGAAGTTTGACTGGGCTAGTAGCCCAGTGTCAAATTCTGAACCCATTTTAATTAATATTTAATTATAATGAAAATGCTCGTTCATGAAATAAGTGATACTATATTCATTACAGTCTCTTACTTGATCAATGAATAACCATATTCGACGTTTCCTTTGACAGGAAAAACAATGTTAAAAATGTAAAGTTAGTAAAGGGAAGACTGGAGGACACTGTACTGCCAGAGGACAAATACGATGTCATCATATCCGAATGGATGGGCTATTTTCTGCTATACGAGGCTATGCTCGACACAATTATCTATGCCCGCGAAAATCATTTGAAGCCCAGTGGTAAAATTCTGCCCAATCGCTGTACGCTCCATTTGCTGGGTATAAATGAGGCGCTGCATGAGCAACACGTTGAGTTCTGGTCGGACGTTTACGGGGTTAATATGAGTGATTTGCGCAAGCGCAGCATTGAGGAGCCCCTGATGGAGGTGGTCAATCCTGAGCACATACTCACAGAGAGCGAGCAAATTGCTAATTTTGATATGATGACCGTGGATCTTAACTATTCGAGTTTTACGCATGAATTCCATTTAAAGTGCACGCAAACGGGTAAATTGGCTGCCTTTGTGGGTTACTTTGACACGTTCTTTGAACTAGACAGCCAAATCACGTTCAGTACATCGCCAGCCGAGACGCCCACGCACTGGAAACAGACGGTCTTTTTCATAGACCAGCCACAAACGGTGCAAAAGGATCAGGTGATAAGCGGCAAGATCAGCTCCCGGCGCCACCAGGGCGATGTGCGTGCACTGCATGTGGATATCGAGGCCTTTGGCAAGCATTATAAGTACTCGGTGGATTAGTTGGTCTTCAGATTGTTTTAATGCAAGTTTTTTGTAGACAAAATGTGAGCTTATTTAATATAAAAAGTATGTAATATATAAATTAAAATGAGTACCAGCTGCCAGGTAAGCTGGCGCAGTGCTGTTGCCAAAAAAACAATTTTACATATATTTATTATGGGAACGGGGAGGGGGGCGATAGAGAAACAGTTGCCAAAAACATAAAATTATGTTGCTTTAAGCAGTGTTAGTTTCCAGATCGGAGGCGGGTATTTCGGGTTCCTCATCGTTGTACACGTTCTCGGCCATTTGCCATACTTGCATGATATTGTCCTCCGATACAGAGCATATGATCCATGGCTCATTTGGGTTCCAGGAGAAGTCGCTGATTTTAGCCGTATGGCCACCGTGTATGAAAAGCAGCTCGGGTGGACCATCTTCGGCATCTTCAGAGCTCTGCTCCTCGCCAATTTTTGATAAATCCCACACATGTAGACGCCGATCGGTGCCCGAGGAAGCCAGAATGGTCTCATTATGGGGCGACCATTGCACCTGAAAGATTTCATCCTTGTGCGACTCAAAGGAATGTAGTTTCAACTTGAGATTGCGCAAATCCCACAAGGCGACCGTTTTATCCGCAGATCCCGTGGCCAATATAAATTCTGAGTAAGGATTAAAGCTCAAACAGTTCACTTCGGCCGTGTGCGCATCAACGGTGTGCGATGGTTTTGATGTGTTGTTGTTGCGCGTATCCCAAATCATCAGCTTCTGATCATCGGCCACCGAACCGAACAGTGATTCATGAAGCAAATGCCAAGCCACATCCTCAACGACGGCGGTATGGCCAGTGAATATATTCTTCGCATCGATAACGCGATGCTCCTTGGGTGTGGCATTGATATCCCACAAGCAGATGGTGTGATCGTCCGAGGCCGAGAGCAAGTAACCTAAGGGGGTAGATGTTGAGTGAAAACAGAACTACATACAAAACGGGTTATAAAAAGAAAATGTTGTGGACAGTGCGACCTTTGTGGGATCCGAGATGCCTCCTTCATTGGGTAACAAATTTCGTCAAAATATTATAAAATCCAATCTAGCACTGGTATTTAAACAATTCATTGTGGATCTATCCTCGTGCTTACCATTCAAATTGGGATTCCACGACAGACCGTAGCCTTCCTTCTGATGTCCTCGCAAACGCAAGTCCGGCTGGCATTCGCCGGATGGTTCCGGTTTGCTGGGATGCTTTGTATAGTCAAATACGAGAACATCGCTTGAGGGAGTTTTGGTAGCAATAACGCAAGCATTTTGCGGCATGTAGCGTGCACGGTTGACTTCCCCTTCGTGATTGATCTTGATTTCAATCTCGATTTTACCACAAACTGAGCCAAACCCACCGAATTCGCCCTTCTCATTATCGTAGTGGGAGCCATCGAACTGGGCATCCTCACTAGGCAATTGGACGCTGGCAATCAGCAAATGATTCTGTTCATCCGAGGTATGTGTGCCCAATATCAGGCGATGAACGGAGTAATCTTTGCCATCCTGTTTGGTTACATCAGGCAGCCATTGCGCCGTCAGTGAAGGCCATTCCAGAGCGTGCGTCATGACCAGATCGTATAGAAATGGAGTGTTTTTTTTCCATATCTTGTACTCTTCGTTAATCACACGTTCCTCGACGGCATCGTCAAAAGATTCCGCTGCTTACAAATAAAGTGTTAGAATTCGGCATTTGATCAACGTTCGACATGTTTGTTACTTACCATTATCGCTGCGATCAACCATTTTAGACCAAGCAGACAAATTATAATTTCACGCAAATTTTTGTGCGCGTCGCAAATTCGGGCGCCAAATCAACAAAGCGGCGGCGGCAAAAGCGTGCTCAGTCGGCAAAATTTTACAGGCTTTGCGACTTCGTATTAAGCAAGCGCTCTAGTTAATTATATAATACTTAAAATAACACTTAAATTTTTATTATAAAAATTGAAGGTGCTCTTGGACTTTTTGCAACAATACTGTTAGCAAAAAGTAAGAAAATTATATCCCTTTTTTTGCAAGCGCGTCGGCTGCTAGATGCGACAGAGATGCTTAGAAATGTTATCGGTAGAAATGTAAGAAAGTCGATTAGTCTAACACAATTGAATTTTGGTATATAAATATTTTAATCGATAGTTTTTTTTATTTATTATATAGCCTCTGTCCACTGAACACAGTTTCTCACACATTTCAGAAATTGCCACATTTTTGCAAAATGTGTGAAATTCGCCCTGTGCATTTCCCCATAAGAAAGCACATTTCACACACCTTTTAAAAAAGGCACATTTTTTAAAAATGAATAAATTTTCCCGAACATTTCGTGATTTGATTAATCGAGATTTTTATCGATGCTGTGAAAAATGGTAAAGTATCGTAAACACAAACAGCTGATATATCAACGAAGGCAAGCGGCAACTTTAAATAAGAAATTTAAAATTAGAATTATCCCACCGCTTTAAGAATTTAAAAATGGAGATATCTCAAAAAGAGTACCTAAAATGGAGCCCTTACTTCGAGAGTGAAATTTTGAAGTTTTTTAAGAAGAACTTACGGCGCTTATGTAAATTAAAGAAAATCGATCAGCTTTTACCGCCAACCGGTGGAACACCAATATGTGAAATTTGAAAATGTGACGTTTCTTAAACCAGTGGACAGAGGCATGTGCGTCAAATTAGCGGCGATGACTTAGCGTCGAATTTTGGTACTTGTTATCGGAAAAGTATCGGTCACTTTTAAATGCTTTTATTTATGTTTTTAAGCACGCAACCAAATAAATTTAAATGCAGAATTGTAAAAAATTAAATTATTTAGTGCCTACATTCATTTGTTTTTGGATTTTAATATATAATATGTGTGAAGCAAGGGGTTGATATATTAGTTTTCCACCATTCCATAAATATCTAAATTTAGGGATAATGGCCCCGAAAACCGCATATACACGATTAAAGCCTATAGTTTCGCCTAGCCAACTGTGAAAATTTGATTAAAATCGTCGGTACCATCTTTTAGATATTTGGAAAAAAATGCAGCATTCCCCTTGCCAGCCCCATAAAAAATGAACGGAAAAAATCAACCTTGTTTTTGAGCCCTATTTTCTTGGCTTGGAGATAATGGCCCTCAATGCACGCTATACCCTCTTGTAGATACATATTTTAAGAAGCTTTAGTCACTAATTTTAAGTAAATGGACGGTACAGATTTTGTAAAAATAAATGAATTTTAAACCATTCTCACATAGTTAATTCATAAAGTCTATCGAACTGCTAGTTCCTACGTGAACTGAATCACTGCCTGGAATCAGTGTTGAATAATTTTGTACAGAATTGGGCGGGAGGCATATCAATTTGATGTACGGTAGTTGTGCAAATAGAGCACCACACCACTTATCAATCATTTTGCACGTGTTTGTCGAAAATAAATAATCGAACTATCGATATGTTATGTATTGCATGTATTTAATCGTAGAGACAGATATATGCGTTAACATTTTTGGGCCTACCGACGCCTAAATTACAGGACACGCACGCGTTAACAGTTGGTTAACATGTTCTTTTCTGCGCTAAATAGCAGTTGTTGGAAGTCCCGTTTTATCCAATAGACAAAAAATAACAAGTAACGTAATGAGTATATTTAAAAACTATGTGCATAATCGAATCAGTCGCAGTGCTACTATTTTTTGGCCGCCAATTGCTTGCGTAGCCGACTTTGCGCCTCAACGGGCCAAGTCTTAAGTTCGGCCCTGGCACAAGGCAGGCAATGTGTCTTTGTATAATAGAAACTGCAGGACGTATCCTTGCACACAACTTGGCCGCAAATAGCGCACTTGGCGCCCAATGATACATAAAACTCTGGCTTGGATTGCCAACGTGGCGGAGGTGCCTGGAATGGATCGCGTAAAACATAGCTATCCTCACGAAATTTGACACCCAGGGCAAAGGGCGGCGCCCGACCATAGAAATGCACCATCTCGTGCATATCACAAGAGCTGCACTTGAACTCGATGTTCGCAACACGCTCATCATCATCCTGTGCCAGAGGCTCCGTTGAAGTCGGCAGCTGCAATCGCCTAATCTCTGCCGCCTCGTTGTCAAGATTTAAATCATCATCATCATCAGCGGCGGCGGCGACATTGAAGCTGTTGCCGAGCGAATCGTCAGTCATGGCGCCCACTGTAAGAGTAAAGACAAAAGGGAGATCTTGGCCAACTGTACGAGACGTAACTTTAGTAATAGTATAGCCTAGGAATATATACAATTAATACATCTAACATTAAAAACTTTCAAGTTTCAATAGGTCATTCCATAGCAGCAAGACCACGTTTGGCGGTCATATCCTTGGGCCACCAATGCGGACGATCCACAAAGCAGCGTTCGCCATCGAGCACTAGTTGCTGGTCACCATGGAGAACGGGTTCAATGCGCAATAAAGCCACGCCATGGTTATGGGCATGCCCAAAAACCCGCCCAAGATTTGCGCCAGCAACAGATTTTACCGTTTGATTGGAGCTAACAGGCGCCGTAAAGCGTATGGGCATATAACGTTTGCGTATGACACCAGAGTGATGAACCCGTGCTGTTAGCTCCTGGCCCACATAGCAGCCCTTGTTAAAGCTAACTCCATTGAGATAATCGGCGTTGGCCTCAAGCGGAAAGCATTTGCCTGGCGGTAGCTCCTCAATACCCTCACCAATGCCCTGCTTATAGCGGAGCAGCTTATAGTTGCTATCGGGTGTGGGATTAATGGCGACCACATCATGATTGCGCCATAAGTCCTTGGACAGCTTTGTGGAATTCAAATCGGCAGGCGCCAGGACACGAGTGCCCATACTCCCGACACGCGGATCCGGTGCAATAAACAAATCCATAGCCTTGTGTGTACGTATATCGCCCCGTCCATTCTCATTAAATATCACCCAGGGCACATACTCATCGTCTACGGTGTCAATGTCGATGCGTTTGCGTACGCGATACATGCGCAAATGGCGACGAAAATCCGAGGACGCATCTCGATCACATTCAAGCAAAAAGGTATCCGGATCATTGGTGCGATAGATGATTGTGTCGTACATTAAACGACCGCCTCGGTTCAGAAACAATGCGTACATCGATGAGGGCCCGTTGGCCTCTTGCAAGCGGGACACATCGTTCGTCACGAGGCCCTGGAGAAATGGCACCACCTCGGCGCCATGCACACGTATCAATTCCCGCTGACGGAGAGGCTCTAATGTGAATGCATTGTTTGTAGATCTGGGTGCTGGTAACCTTCCAGCATAGTTGCGTATGCAGTTGCGTGCAATGCGTAGAAACTTGAAATTTTTACACACATTCATCCTGCGGGTAAAGGTTTTGGTATGTGCGGTGGCCCACTTGGTAGTGTCTATCAGTATTGCATAAGTTTTGCTTACCTGAATTTTTTTATTCAAAATACACAAATGTAAAAAACGCCGAATACTCGAAATTTGTGTGTTATAATAGCTGAAACAGCTGACTGAATCTATAAAAATCGTGCCAGTTGACAAGCTAGTTGTCATGGCTACTAGATTTGTAATTATTTCTCAATAAACACAAATAAATACATACGTCGTAAATTGAGCGGCTTAAGCTGTAATTCATTCCCCTAATTCCACCATCTACCTGATATACGTAGTTGCCAAAATATACCTGCTAAGACAATGCGTATCGAATATCGATACCTATCGATTACAACAATTAAAGAAAAATATCGGCTTAAGAGAATATCCAGCGCGTTTAATTTGAACGTGATGAAAGCCGTTTATATCAACAGCTTCGAATTTATGCCGGCTATTTTATGTGTAGCCAGCTTTTCATTTGAACATCATAAGCAGAATATCAATAACTTGTTAAAAGGATTTTTTATTAACCACTTGCAATAAATGAAAATCGGAAACAAAACACATTTTTTGCGGTGTTTGTTAAATATTTACATAAGTGCCTAAAATATTAATTGAAGTCAATTCTTGGGCTCCTAAAATATTAATTCAAGTTAATTGCTAGTCTTGGGCGCAATTTTCTTGGCCAGCGCGTTCATTTGATTATTGGTTTTCTTTTTTGGTTTCTTGTTCTTTTTGATGGCATCGACTTTGACTCCTCGGTATTCGGATTTCTTTTTGCCAGCAACAGATTTGGTGGGCTCGTTGGGTGTTCCATTTTCTTTCCTTTGCCGCTTGTCTATGCGCTTCTTCGCACCCGTCGCATTCGCCTTATTTTTCGATTTTGATTGTGGCCCCGTCGCTGCAGCAGCCGCAGAGTCACGCGCCTGTTTAGCACCCAGTTTTTTCACTGAGTAGCGTTCCACGTGTATGGGTCTATCGTCGAGCAACGTCTCATTCAGCTCAAGTGCAAGCCCGACCGCATCTGGTTTCTGGAAGCAAACATATGCCACACCCTTGCAGCCCTTGTCACCGTCCTGCAGGCAACGTATGTAGTCGATTTCGCCACAGCTGGAGAAGATCTCACGCAGCTTCTGCTCACTGGCCGCTGCAACAAATCAAGAGTTAATAACGGAAACAAAACAATGTCATAGAATAGAATATTTACTGTATTTAAGATTGCCCACAAATACTGTGCGCTTGACGTCGGCATCGTTGGATGCTTGATCATTGCCAGCAGCTCCCACAGCACCTCTAACCTGCGCTGCTGGTGTAACACGCAAGTGATTCTCCTTGAATTCTGTGCCATTTAGCGCCAGTGCTTTCTCAGCTATTACAGCACTATCCAATACCACGTAGGCGTTCAAGGAGCCCGCTCCCTTGCGCTGTTTGTGCTTAAACAGTTGCTTGCCACCCGCCGTACGCAGACGGATTGAGTGCACGGTGCCAAAAGGTTGAAGCAGACGCACAAGCTGGACGCGCTTCGTATTGATAGGCAGATTGCCGACAAATATTGTCGCTGCTTCGGTGGCAGGATCTCGTTCCCGTTTCAGAGCTTCTATAAAAAAAAAGTTGTGTGAGAGTTAATAATTGCAGGGAAACTTAATCTTTACCTGGATCCTTGTCATTTCCTTTTTTGGCTTTTGCTTTGCCCTTCTGTTTCTTGTCCGGTTTTGTGGTTGTTTTTGCTACTGGTAAACTCTTCTTCTTTTTGTTTGGTTCAGCCAATGTTTTTTCCTCTGCTTTGGACTCCACCTTGGACTCCTTTTCTATTGTTTCAGTAGTCAATTTTCGCTGCTGTTTTTTGAGTTTCTGTGCCTGTTTTTTGGCTTTTTTCTTCTCGATCTTGGCTAAATCAGCTACAGATAGATTCTTGGGGCTCCCTTTCGCCTCCTCCACGACGGCGCTCTTTGTAGCGTTTTTGGTCACTTTCGCCTTCTTTGACTTTGGTGCCTTTTTAATTGTTTTGCTTTTCTCTGCAACATCTTCTGACTTCTTTTGAACTTTTAAGTCATCGTTGCTCTTTAATTTATTTTTCGGCGATTTCATTTTGATATACTAAAACTTCACGTGTTGTATGCGTTCAGTGTTGCAAGATGTAAAATAGTTGTGCACTTGCGGTATGTTATTCTACAGTATTGCCTCCGTTGTGCATCTGTTAAAATTCGCAGCAACGATATTTGGTAAAATGGCTGCCAGTGTAGGGTAATACCTAAATCGACTATCATATCATTCTTATCGAAGTTTACTAAGCGGCTTGTTATTGCCATCTCTATTCGACTTGTTATCTTGTGCATTTTGTTTATTAAATATGAAGAGATATAAGCAGAAACTGCGAGAAGTCTGGCTGCAAATGCCAGAGTTCCGGCCATGGCTACGACGAGATCCCGAGGACTCATACAGAGCGCGTTGTCGTTTCTGCAAGTGTGGGGTAAACACAAAAATATGTGACTTGCGCGCTCATGCGCTCACAAAGAAGCACCAAAAAATGAATGCCGCAGTTGAAACCAAAAGAAATGACTCGGTAAGCATAGTTTAGATGAAATAGTCCGATCTACGACCAATTTCGCAATTTTTCAAACAACAGAGCAATGATGACTCTGCATCTATGGACCACCACACAGACTATAGGACCAGCAAAGCGACAGCAGCCAAACGCTATAGAAGCCACGCTGATGATAACAAAAACAATATGAAATTGTCACCAGTTAAAACGGAAAAGAGAGGCAGCAACGGACCCGATTATGAGGCCATTATAGAAAGTCTAGCGTTGTACGAACCGGAACAAATAATGTTCTCCAATGGGTCAACCACACAGTCGGACGATCAAATCGAGCATCCTGCACCCACAGTAAACATAGATGAAGAGAGCATCACCAATGCTGTTACCGTTGCCGTCAAGAACCTTAAGGATTCACCACAAATATTTGGTGACTTTGTTGCTGATCGACTAAGGCAATTATCGGTCAAAACATCGGAGCTTACCAAGGACAAAATTATGCAGGTTCTTCTAGAAGCTGCTGCATTAGACAGATCAAACAATTGCAACTGACACGGATTATTTTCCAATTCGATATGAAATAATTTTAATAAATCTCACAATCAGCCTTAAGTACAAAGAATTATTTGATCGACGGTTTAATAATAAAGTTTTCCTATCCATGTCTTAAAAAACATTTTGTGCCAGCACATGTACAAAATTCGTACAATATTTTGAAAAAAATATAGTGCACAAATTCACATGGACAGAAGTTTGTAGGTTTTGTGGTAATGTTTGATTGCAAGAATATTTAAAATGGGTTTGCAACAAATGTTTTGAAAAATTGCGGCTTAGCTCTTCACGATGGTAGACGCGACTATCGAAATATCGGGTATAATTTTCAGAGCAAAATCGATAACTCTTAAGATCGCGTCCATAACGTTGTGAAATACGAGTCACTTTTGTTTGGATTTAATTAAGAACCGTCCGTTCTACATATCCGCCATGAGCTCCCAAGAGGACTTAGAGGAAATCAGTGGCAAGGAGAATGAATCACTAACTGGTGCTGCGACTGCAAATCCCTCGAAACGAAAGCTATGCGACCAGGCGGAAGCTATCGTGGATACCAGTGTAATAAATAAACGCAGGAAATCAGAGGACAGTGAAGGCTCAGAATCTAGCGACAATAATAAGGTAAAAATTGAAACAGCAGATGCCGAAGCCAACGACAAAATAGAGCCCAACAATAATAGCATACTAGTGGCGATAAAAACCGAACCAGGTGAAGAGCCTGAAGACAGTAGCGTCCCTGCGGCTAGCACTAGCTCAAATATACCACCTGCTATTTCAATAAAAACGGAGGCAGCCAATAGCGATGCAGTTGCAGTAACGGAGGCAGCCAGCAGTTCCACTGTTGTCAAGACAGAACCAACCAATAGCAGCCAGTCCGCGATTGTTGATAACTCGGTCTCGTCCAGTACTTTACGACCATCCTGCCGTTTCGGCATACGTTGCTACAGGTAATTTATGCTCATATCTGTTTTGCGTCCAGCATAACATATTAACAACATTTTAATCGCTCAGACGAAATCCGGCTCACCGGAATACAGAGGCACATCCTGGCGATTCGGATTATCGTCGTCCCAGTTATCCAACACCACCTTTGGGCACACCAGCATGTCAATTTGGCAACTCCTGCTACCGTCGAAACCCAGTACACTTTCAACAGTTTTCCCATCCTTCAGATTGTAAGTAAGATGCAATAGATGCGCCGAACGGCACCTAAAGGGCAACTTAGTCAATTCCGCCCAGAACATACGCAATCGCTTACGCCAGCGTCGCGACAAGACGCAAAATTCCAATGCCCAGGCAGACGAATACTCTGATTTTGAATCAGACGAGGAGGAGGATCCATTTCACGATCAGGGTGACTCTGATTTGGACTATAAGCCTGGCGCGGATGAAGACAAAGACGACGACGAGGATGATGAACTTGAATTCAATAGCGAGCGTCAGAACTGTGATGAATTTGATTAGATTTATTTTTTTAAATTTTGCGTGATGTAAATATGTTAACTTCGTCTCTAAAATAACTGAATATATGTCTATATACTGAATACCGTGTCAATATAATTGTTAATGTTAATGTCGTCTGTTAATGTCACGGCATAACAGTCTGGCAACGCAAGGTTTGGTGTTTAGCGCAACGTACGATACGGGCACACTGTTAGGTCGTGTTTTTGCTTCGTATCGTCGCCACATCTGTGTGTGTCAGACGAGACGCATTTTTTCTTAATTGTGATTTTTAAAGGTTTTACGTCCATCGCAGTGTTCAATTTGGTAAACAGTAACAACAGAAAGGTCTCAAACTGGCGGAGAAAAAAGTACAGATGGCATTATGCCAAACATCAGTGGTAAGACACAAGCATATGATACAATATGCTGCATATGCACATATAAATATATTCTACAACAAAGCTGTGCCCTCAAAAAACACAATATATACACTACGAGAACGGCCATAGAGATTCCGGCAACGAGTCAATTATTCATGGTTTTCTGATGTTAAATTATTAAAAAGCTGTGACATATGGACGAAGAAAATTGCGTCCCTCAAAAGTGA